GCGTCCTCCCGGAGCCTCCCGGCCACGCGGCTGCGGGTCCGCGTGGAGCCGCAGCGCAGGCGCCCGCGAAACAGGGGCCGCACGTACTCGATCAGCGCCCGCCGGTGCAGCTCGGCCACCAGCGCCTGGCGACCCGGGAAGATGCGAGGAGGTGTGAACTGCCGGTTACCCCCTCTCCCCGCTTCCAACCGCCCGTGCCCACGCGGGGCATCCAACGGGAACCCCGCCCCGCCCGCCCCAGCCCCCTGGCAGCCCTCTGGTCTCCCAATGGGTGACCCCTGACCTGTCCCCCCAGTCAGCACGCGGACTCCCCCTACCGGCCCCCAAAGAGTGCCCCCATGTCAGCCCTCTCCGCTTTGCCCCCCTCCTCCCCCTCAACCCCGCACTCCTCCCCGCACAAGCAGACGCACCTGGTAAGGCTCATCCTGCATCCTGCGCAGGGCCAGGGCCTTAGCGCCCAGCGTGCCCACGATGCCATCCAGGGCCTCAGAGCTGCTCAGCCACTTCCTGCGCATCAGCTTGTTGAAGTGCGGCTGGGAGACGGAGTGGGGAGAGGGTCGTCACTCTCCTTCCTTCTGCCCACTTTGCGTGGTTTCACCATTCAACATTTGCTCCCCAAACCATGCTCCCAGCTGAACCAGGGCTGTGCGATGCTGAGGACACAGCAGTGACAGAGACAGCCTGGCCCTGCCCTCCTGAGGTTCACAGTCCAGAAGGGAAGACAGACCTGTCCCCAAATAGTGACAACCCAGAGGGGTAATGCCTGGAAGGAGGGAGCCCAGGGGTACAGGAAACCCAGAGGAGAGGCCTGAGTCAGCACAGCCAAGGAGGGCTTCCTGGAGGAGAGGGCATCAGAGCTCAGGCCCGTAAGATAATTATTAGTCAAGTGAAGGATGGGAGAGGGAGTGGCTCAAGCAGAGAGGAAAGCCAGTGTGAAGAAGGTTCAGATTTCAGATGGACCAGGAAGAAGGTCAGTGTGGGTGGTAGGACCATCTGTATAATTCACAGGCCTGATGTAAAATGAAAATGGGAGACTTTTGTTCAAATATTAAGAACATCAAGACAGAGACAGCAGAGCTTTACCAAGCTAGAGCCTTTCTAAGTGGTGGGGGCAGGGGATGTATGACTAAATAGTGAAGAGATGGGGTTAGCCAGGTCAACAGAGCAGAGCCCACAGGCCTCCTGGACTGAATGAGCAGCCCTAGATTTCTTGTGAGAGCACTGGGGAGCCATGGCAGGTTCTAAGCAGGAGAGGGAGAGGGTCAGCTTTGTGCTTCACCCAAATGGATGGGAGGGAGCAAGACTGAGGCAGAAATGGGGGGTCTGCAAAGGGGAAAGGAGAATGCAGGTGATCCATTCATAGGATGGAGTAAGTGGCCACCTGTCGGGGGAGGGGAAGGAGGCATCTGGATCCTAGAGGTGGGCCGATGGGAAGTGGGTCTGTCCCTGAGATGGAGGCTGGGAGGAGCAACGGGGAGATGCTGCAGTCGGGTGGACAATGGGAGTGTAAGGACACCTCTAGGGCTGCAGTCCATGGGGGTCTGAAGCAGTTTCCTATCCCACTCAACAGCACCTCTTTCCTGATCTGTCATCCCCAGTTTTCTGAACCTCCAAAAATGAGGCCTGAGAGCTTTTGTTGACAAGCACGTGCCAATTAAATGAGCCGATGCTCCTGGTACAGCACTCGACTCAGACTTTATTGCTGTTGCTATAAAGTCTACACATTTATGAAGATCACAATGGCCAATACCCAAGGGCCAGGACCCAGGCTAAGCACTTTCTGTCCACAAGCCCATTGCTTCCTCCCAGCCATCTGAGAAGACTGGCATTCCTGTGCCCATTTTCCAGATGAGCAAACAGAGATCCCAAGAGGAAAGTCACTTGCCCAAGTACCCCTATCTGGAAGCAGCATAGCTGGGCCCACTCACTGACTTTCTTTCCCATACTTGTTCATTTAGTCATTCAACAAACACTCTCTGAACCCTTTCTGTGGCCCAGCCCTGGGTGGATCACTGGGGACACATCAGGGAATGCCTGGGGACATAGTGCAAAATAAGATAAACAAAACTCTAAGTGCTTGCTAATCATAAATAGTTGAGGAAATCTGAATTCTGATCTGATATTTGGTGATATGAAGGAATGACCGTTTCATCTGTTAGGTATGAGAATGGCATTGTGGTTATGTTTGTTTAAAAGGGATGAGTTCCTTATCTCTCAGAGATACAGGCTGACGTGGTGATGGATGATACAAGGTGTCAAGAATACAGTGGGCAGGAGGGGCAGGGGAAGAGATGGAGCTGATACTTGCTGGAGTCCATCCACCAGAGGTCATTCTGTCTACTTTTGTGTGTATTTGAAAATTTTCCATAATAAAGCTATTTTAGAAACATTCCAACAAATCCTTGCCCTTGAGAAGCTAACATTCCAATGGGAGGAGACGGATTGGGGGGGGAGCAAAGGATGTAGCATGGCAGGTGGTGATAAGTGCTCTGGAGACAAATAGAGCGGTGGGGGGGTGTGGGCATCTCAGGGGCTTCTACTTTAAATAGGACAGTCAGGGGAGATCCTTCTGAAAAGGTGACTTTTGAGTCAAAACTTGAAAGAGGTGAGAGAAGGAGCTCTGTGGGTATTAGAAGGGAGAGTAGTCCAGGCAGAGGGCATGGCAGGTGCAAAGGTACTGAGGTTGGAATGCCATGTTAAGGAGCAGCAATGGAGTGGATGTGGCTGGAGTAGAATAAGCAAGTGGGAAAGTGGGAGGAGGTGAGGTCAGAGAGGGAAAGGGCAGACCATGCAGGGCCTTGGGGACCATGGCAAGGACGTTGGCTTTTGCCCTGAGTGAGCTGGGAGCCATGGAGGGTTCTAGGCGGAAGAGGAACATGTTCTGATGTACAACACGGATTGAGCAAATGTTACAACATGCACACACGCCTCAGTACCCCCTCCATACTCCCACCAGCTTCCCCACCCCAAGTACGCTCACCCACCTCTGAACCTAGTCCCCTCTGGGCATGCGCAGGAGCCTAGAGATGAGTGAATGGGGCTCTAGAGTCTAGGAGAGGCTGGCCAGGAATTTGGGGGACCTCAGTGAGGAGGGGCTCCATCCAGCCCCCAAGGCCCTTTCCTGCTGATGGCTCTCTGTCCTCCCCTCTATCATATCCTCCCACCTCTTCCTTCCTGCACCCTTCTCTGTCCCCTCAAATGGCCAGACATAGCCATCACCCTCCCCACCCTATCTGTTTCCCCAACACTGACTCATGAGCTGAAAGGAACTGCAGGATTGAGTGGGGATGCTCCCCTGTCCTGGCACTGGCCCCACCCCAGCCCACTGCCTTCCTCACCTGCAACTCCTGGAACAGCAGGTCGGTCAGGACACGGTGGCAGAGCCGGGTCACACGATCCAGAGCACTGGCAGCTGCTTCCCGGGCCGGCTCACTTTCAGGGGGCCCCACCCGGGCCAGGCGCTCCGCCAGAGCCCTTTAGGGATCAGTAGAGCCAAAAGTCAAGGAGCCCCAACATCTCACCCCCACTGCCTGGACCTGTCTCCCCAGAGATAGACCCTATTTTGTGGGGCACCAGGGTGACAGGTCAGATGGGAAGCTGAGGAAAGTCAGGGGCTTTGGGGAGGTCCTGGGGGCTGAGAGGTATCAGAGGATGTCTGGAGAGTTGGGGGTCGTGGGGGCCCTGAAATGTCTAGGAGGCTTAAAGATGTAGTGAGAGGGAAGGGGTCTCTCTGGGTCTCTGTATCTCTTGATGTTTTCTGGGTGAGAATGGGGATGCTTCCATTCTAAAAATCTGTGATATTCTAAAGGACTCTAAATCTAAAATTTTACCCTTTTCATTTTCTGTCATTGTTATTTTGATGACCATCTCCATTGCTGAAAGTATAACCTGGTTTGGAGGGCAATTTGGCACTTTCTGCCTAAATCCCAGCAGACCCCCTTTTGGGAGTGTACCCCCGAGTCCCCACACTTGTGGGGGCTGACAGATGTGCCCAGTTTTTCCCTGCAAAAGAGTAGAGGCAATTGTCCTTCCATTGGGGACAGCTTAAATAAATGATGATTAATAATAATATGTCTAAACCGTGGAACACAGTTCAGATATGAAAAAGGAATGTGAAACTCTTCAGGCTCTAACAAAGTCCTCCAAGATGTTAAGGGGAAGAGGGCAGAGTGTGTTGAATATTCTTCCACTTGTATTTTTTTTAAGGAAAAGGAATATATTTTTTTGCATATAGTTAAATGTATTTACTTGTATGTATGAAATATGCATATGCATGTATATATGTGTATATGCATAAAGTATGCCTATGCATAGATGTACTTATTTACATGTATTTACCAGTAAATGTATCAAATGCCCCTGCAATGATATGGGAAACATTAGCAATAACGGGGTTGGGGAGTGTGGGAAGGAGGCTTTTCACTGTGGGTGCTCTCACCTCAGGAGGGGCCCACAATTGACCAGGGAGATGGTCCTGCTGATATAAGTGTCGGGTAGCAGCTCCCGGACTCCTGGGTTCTCATGGAATCTTTCCACGCGCTGCTGGAAGCTGGTGGGAGGAGGAGAGGATGGCATGACAGATGGAGTGCTGCAGGATGGGGGTCCCTGGCTGGGCACTCAGCCCAGGCAAGCCTGTGATCCCCGTGGAGGCAACCCTGCCCACCTGACCTGACACACTTTCATCTCTCCTCTCTCTGTTGAATCCCAGATCCAGATGCCCCGCACCCCCAGACCTGCGCCCTGCCGCAAGCCGTCCATACCTCTGCAGGAATTCTGCCAGCCCCCCGAGGCAGCAGTGGGCCATCCGCTCCCCAAACTCCTGGCTGATGCGGGGCGCTCGCTCCGTGTGTTCTTCCAGCAGCTTCATGGTCCAGGGGATGAGAAAGGGTGAAGAGGGAATGAGGTCCCACTCTCCCGCCCAGCGCTGTCCAGCTGATTCTCCTTCCTCTTCCCTACCCCCTACCTCACACACATCCTGTGCCAGGCTGCTGGACCAGTCCTCCGCACTCCCCCAGTGCTCCTCGTCCTCCTGTAGCACTCGAAGCAGGGCTGCCCGAGTCTGCGCCTGGAGCGGGGAGGTGGGAGAGAGGCTGGACTCAGGGTGCCTGGGATACTCTCCCTCCCTTTGTCCCAGCAAGATCTCCACACCTTCGTCCCAAGCAGGCCTGGATTCTACCTGTGAGCTCACCGAGGTAACTCTGGGCAGGAACCTGGACCAGAAAACCACTCCAGTCACTTCCATTCCTAAGCCTATTATTTGGAACTTGATATTAAGAGTTTGTGGTCTTGAGCCTCCTCCATCTAATAGCCAGAGGGTTTACAGGTTTATTCTCTCATTGTCTAATGGTTCTAACAGTCTGCTCTCAGGTTCAGCAAAACACTTTGTTCAAGATTTCCAAATTCTGTGATTCAGGAATTCCAAGGGCCTGGGATTCTAAGGTTTACACATCTCTGATTCCCTGGCCTTCAGTTCAGTGAGTCTGAAAATCTAGACATGTTCAGTTTGCAGATTCAAAGCTCTCAGGTTGCAAAGAATTCTGATATCTGTGGCTGGGGCAGGACTGGCTTTCAGATGGGAAACAACCCTGTGGCTGGGCTCGTTGTTTATGGCTGCGCCATTCTGCTCAGCAGTGCCAATGCCCGGCCAATTATTAACCACATTTACTATCCGCCCTGCTTATATGCAGACATGCTTGGATGCCCTCCTTCTGGGACTCTTTGGGTCTGTGACTGACTCTCTCTTGCTGTAAGATTTGAAGGGTCCAAATGTATTGAACCTTTACTGTGTGTCCTGACATCTGGCTGGGTGCTTTGGGATGCAACACTGAGCATAAGACTGAAGTGATCAGATGGGTGTACATTTTGATGTATTTTGGCCAGAACTCAAAGTCCACAAAGGGAAGAGGGAGATGGAAATAGGGAAGAGGGGAGAGGAGAGGCCCCAAGCTCAGTGTGACCCCTCCCTCTGTGCAGAGCACCCCCCTCAGTCATCAATGCCATGTCCCAGGTACCTTAACATCTGTGACACATTCATCCTCCAAGCCACGAAGGGTGCCAGGGGACAGAAGGGACCCCAGTTCCCCGTTCTCCAAGGCGACCATGTCCACCAGACCTAGCACCTCTCTGGGGCGGGGTAAGAGACAGGGAGGTCTGTGAGAGGTGGGATTGGGCAGCTGGACCCCTCCCCACCTCCATCCCTTCACACCCTGTGTGTATGTGACCTGGGCCACTCCCTTCCTCTCTTGAGGCCAGCTTTGCTCATCCCTCAAAGGAAGTCTCTGGAATTGTTGCTCCCCTGGCTCCAGCTCTCTGAGTCAGCTCCCTGATGGATGGTGTCCGGGCAGGACTTGCAGGGGTCAAGTCCAGGCTTGATGATCTGACACGCAAGGTCTCACCCACTAGAGCTTCAGCAGACGGAAGCTTTCTTCCACCTCCGCTCCTAGTCCCGACCAGTGCAGCCCTCACTCCCACTTCTGTGTTTTTGCCTTCCCCAGCCTGTGCCTGCCCACCCCTCCCCACACACCCACACAGGCTTTTTGCCAATGGCTTCTTCTTGGCCAGAAGCCCTGCAAATCAGACTTCACTCAGGTCTTACCATTCCACACTCCCCTATCCCCCCTCCATCCCTCACGGATGGGGTGTGAATGTCATCAACACGTACTCCCAAGTGGGATTCCCAAAACGTCCCATTCTTCTGGTGACAGCATCCTGATTTTGTTTGAGGAACCACCCACTGCCTTCACCTTCCAATGTGCAGTTTGGGTGTGGCTAACTCACTTTTCCCTGGAATTGGTATCGACCCAGTCATAGCTAATCACCATATTCCGTCCCCCAGCCACAATGATGGATGTGTTTTCAGATTCAAAGGCTCAATGGTTATGAGTCTAGGACTGGGACATTCAATGGTATTCAGGTTCTACGTGTATAGACTTCTAGGGGCCAAAAGTGCTACCGTCCTAAAACTGTAAGAGTCAAGGGTCTGGGATCCCAACAGGGGATGAAGCTAAGGTTTAGGTTTCGAAGGCTCATTGGTGCTAAATTCTAAGATTGAAAGTGTCATCAAGTCTAAAGTTCTAAGACTGGAAGAGTCACCAGGGCTAATGCCCTAGGGTCCAAGGCGGGAGCAGTGTAAGGGTTCTAGAATCCTAAGGGTCAACAGCGTCAAGACAAAGAAGGGTCATTGGTGCTAAGTTTCTAGGACTGAAAGGGTGGGCAGTGCTAAGATTCCAAGAGCGTAAGTGTTGACTATTCTAAGGTTCTTGGACTGGAAGGATCAACAATGCTAAGATTCTAGGACCAGTAGGATGGCCGGTGCTAACGTTCTAGGACCAGAAGGATGGCCGGTGCTAACGTTCTAGGACCAGAAGGATCCAATACTAATATTCTAGGACCAGAAGGGTGGCCAGTGCTAAGGTTCTAGGACCAGAAGGATCCATGTTGCTGAGGATCTGGCGCTGGGAGCGCGGAGAGCGCTAGGAGTCTCGGATTGTGAATGTCACCAGTGCTAAGCCTGAAAGGGTCAACGATGTTAAGGTTCTAGGATTGAAGGTACAGGGGCCTTAGGATCTGAAGAGGCCAAGGCCGGGGAAGGGGGGGTGGAGGGAGCTATGCGACCTTGGGGCAGTCGGTCCCTAGGCTGGGCGGTCTGCGGCGGCCCCAGCTCACCTGGGGTACACCTGGTTGTGCCAGTGCAGCAGCGCGTAGCGGTCGGCCAGGGGTAGCCTGCGTCGGGCGGCGGCCCCGATCCACTCGGCCCGCGCGCCGTGGTAGC